ATACAAATCTAAGTTAATGGACTTAAAAACAAATTAGAAAAAACTAGACAGAAAGCATATTTCCCCACTGGACATTTTCAATTTAGCTCAGCCTGTGTTAAATTTGCTTTATTTTCCTTAGCAAGATTTCAAATCTTACCTATTATGTAATTTTATTAAAAAGAAAAAAAAACAATCCAGTTCTTTTTATATAGCAAGGATAGAAAAATATAGGAGGGTTAGAGAAATTTTGTTTATATTTTATTTGGCTATATCGCAAATAAAATATTTTTTTTATTTTCCTAGACCAACCCGCTTTAACGATGGAAGCGATATCCGAATTGAAAACAATTGGAAGCAATTGTTCGAAACATGCCTTAATTTTAAGTTTTTTTTTCGGACAAGAAGTGAATTATTTCAGTATAAAATATTATAATCTATTAATAAATTAAGAACATTTACAATTATTTTTCAAAATCTGCAACTGATCTAAATATTAAAATTTAGAAGTGAATCACTCATATTTATTCCAGTAGACCGAATGTAGAAAAAATAAAACCGTATGTATTAAGGGAGAAAAGCAAAATTATGTTTTCTGTATCTCTGAGTTACGTTCCTTGCATATCTAATCTTATATTTACCTAGCTGTGTATTGCTGAGGCGCGATACGTAGGGTCCATATATATTAGATCGTTGTCTTGTCCCTTTCAAACTGTTAATTTACACTGAATTGTGTTTGAAATCTACAGGGCGATTATGCCTAGACCATTCGAAACAATAATGCGCTATTTGATAAATGATCAGTACATTTAGCAAAGTCTTAGGATTAACAGACAAAAGAACGATTGTCCAATTATACATATTACATATATTATAATTAGTTTAATTTATTTATTAGAGATAGAATCATTAGAAATGTTTATTATAAGCACAAATGAAAAATAGTAAGAAAAAATATTTCTCCCTGTACATTTTACTGTACCAGACAATTCTTGCCAAAATGGTGACGATTTTTTTAATAGTACGTTAGAGTTCACAAAAAGGAAGCAGACCATTGCTAACACAATAAATGACATTTTATATATTTACTTCTTATTTGCTACATTTTAAGAGAGTCAATTTAAAGTAAATATGTTTGTTTTTTCTTTTACACTACTATTTGAAATTCTATTATAGTTAAATAAATCGTTAATATACAGGGTAAGTCTTAAATAAGTGCAAATATTTTTAGGGGTAGTATATTTCGACCCAAAAAACACAATTATGAGAAGATTTTTTTTAGTTTTTAGTTAAAAAAAATAATTTCCTGATAATGTGGTATTGGATTAAATTTACAAAAAAGAAACCCCAGAAAAGATCAAGCGATTCTCAAAATTTAAGCAAAAAGAAATTTCTTGGGAAATTTTCAAAGTAAAATAACTCGGTTATTTTAAACTTATTTGAAAAACGGTAAAGAGAAAATATGTTTCTTTTATCGAGATCTACCAGCCCTGAAAATATTTGCACTTATTTAAGACTCACCCTATATAAAACAAACGAAAGAAATAAAATATTACCAAAAGTTAAAATAAAGACATTTTTTACATTGGTTTTCCAATAAATACTTTAAAAATTTATAACTAGTTGTAATTTATATATTTCTGTATTATTGTTTCGCAGGTTATTTCACACTGACTTAAAATAATTAGAAAATTTTAAATAAACCACACACTATTATAAGATTTATACCTATGTTGCTTAAAGTATTACTTAAAACAATTTCTCAAATAAAGTTTATTAATATTATCTAGAAAATAAAATCGGCAATAATTTAGTATGCTTTTTAATTTTAGGCACAAATTATCCGTATGTGCCTATATTATGTGACTGATTTTAAAATGGCAAGCTCTTTCAAATCCAAAATTAAAACTAATGAACTAATAATAAAAAAATGAACGTCATAACTTTTTGAAGAGACCCAAATAAAGATATCGGAAATAAAAAAAAATGTACATTCAATCAATAGCAAAAAGTTTCAATGAAAACGTGCAATCTGTTCTGTATAAAAAATTGTTATAAATAAAATTTAGAAAAAGTAATCAATAGAAATTCTTATTTGTCCTGAGTTACTTTTGAGAAAATTATCAATATAATAACAATAATAAAAAAATCAGAGTCAAGATTTACACCGAGAGCTTCACCGACCTGGACATAGGAAATCCCATGTATATGTTTCATAGTTGTCGATTTTCGAAAGAAATCACTACATGTATATTATTTCGTATATTTTTCATTTTATTGATTTTATGGAAAGCACTGTTCATTAAAATGTTGTATTCTATGTTATAGGGCTTGTTTCTCTCTACAATTTCCTGTCTCACAATGTACCGTTTGTGTCGGGGAAGGGATCATAGTTTCATAGTTGTCGATTTTCGAAAGAAATCAGTACATGTATATTATTTCGTATATTTTTCATTTTATTGATTTTATGGAAAGCACTGTTCATTAAAATGTTGTATTCTATGTTATAGGGCTTGTTTCTTTCTACAATTTCCTGTCTCACAATGTACCGTTTGTGTCGGGGAAGGGATCATAGTTTCATAGTTGTCGATTTTCGAAAGAAATCAGTACATGTATATTATTTCGTATATTTTTCATTTTATTGATTTTATGGAAAGCACTGTTCATTAAAATGTTGTATCCTATGTTATAGGACTTGTTTCTCTCTACAATTCCCTGTCTCACAATGTACTGTTTGTGTCGGGGAAGAGATCATAGTTTCATAGTTGTCGATTTTCGAAAGAAATCAGTACATATATATATTATTTCATATACTTTTCATGTTATTGATTTCATGGAAAGCACTGTTTATTAAAATGTTGTATCCTATGTTATAGAGCTTGTTTCTCTCAACAATTTCCTGTCTCACAATGTACCGTTTGTGTCGGGGAAGGGATCATAGTTTCATAGTTGTCGGTTTTCGAAAGAAATCAGTACATGTAGATTATTTCGTATATTTTCATTTTATTGCTTTTATGGAAAGCACTGATCATTAAAATGTTGTATCCTATGTTATAGGGCTTGTTTCTCTCTACAATTTCCTGTCTCACAATGTACCGTTTGTGTCGGGGAAGGGATCATAGTTTCATAGTTGTCGATTTTCGAAAGAAATCAGTACATGTTATATTATTTTGTATATTTTTCATTTTATTGATTTTATGGAAAGCACTGTTCATTAAAATGTTGTATCCTATGTTATAGGGCTTGTTTCTCTCTACAATTTCCTGTCTCACAATGTACCGTTTGTGTCGGGGAAGGGATCATAGTTTCATAGTTGTCGATTTTCGAAAGAAATCAGTACATGTTATATTATTTTGTATATTTTTCATTTTATTGATTTTATGGAAAGCACTGTTCATTAAAATGTTGTATCCTATGTTATAGGGCTTGTTTCTCTCTACAATTTCCTATCTCACAATGTACCGTTTGTGTCGGGGAAGGGATCATAATTTCATAGATGTCGATTTTCGAAAGAAATCAGTACATGTATATTATTTCGTATATTTTTCAATTTATTGATTTTATGGAAAGCACTGTTCATTAAAATGTTGTATCCTATGTCATAGGACTTGTTTCTCTCTACAATTCCCTGTCTCACAATGTACCGTTTGTGTCGGGGAAGAGATCATAGTTTCATAGTTGTCGATTTTCGAAAGAAATCAGTACATATATATATTATTTCATATACTTTTCATGTTATTGATTTCATGGAAAGCACTGTTTATTAGAATGTTGTATCCTATATTATAGAGCTTGTTTCTCTCAACAATTTCCTGTCTCACAATGTACCGTTTGTGTCGGGGAAGGGATCATAGTTTCATAGTTGTCGATTTTCGAAAGAAATCAGTACATGTAGATTATTTCGTATATTTTCATTTTATTGCTTTTATGGAAAGCACTGATCATTAAAATGTTGTATCCTATGTTATAGGGCTTGTTTCTCTCTACAATTTCCTGTCTCACAATGTACCGTTTGTGTCGGGGAAGGGATCATAGTTTCATAGTTGTCGATTTTGGAAAGAAATCAGTACATGTTATATTATTTTGTATATTTTTCATTTTATTGATTTTATGGAAAGCACTGTTCGTTAAAATGTTGTATCCTATGTTATAGGGCTTGTTTCTCTCTACAATTTCCTATCTCACAATGTACCGTTTGTGTCGGGGAAGGGGATCATAATTGTCGATTTGCGAAAGAAATCAGTACATGTATATTATTTCGTATATTTTTCATTTTATTGATTTTATGGAAAGCACTGTTCATTAAAATGTTGTATCCTAAAAAAGGCGCATTCTCACGACTTTGTAACTGGTATACAGGGTATACACGGTGCGTCGGGTATATACACAGAATTTCTAAGTTATTTATTATAGCCAGATGACCAGACCACCGCCAGACCCTGTGGACCAGTAAAAAATACTTGCCAAGTACACGAGTCGTGAATATGCGCCTTACAGCGCATTCAGATGGAGCGGAGCGTCAGCGTGGACCGTCCGCGAGTTTCATGAGTTTAATGTACAATTTCACATGGGTCGCGTATGCTCTGTCCGGATGATTTCGTCTGACAGCTATCTTGAAAAAACAAGCACCACAAAAACACCGCGCGGACGCTCCGCTCCATCTGAAAGCGCTGTTAAAGTCATTACATGAAAAAAAAATGATTTCTTTTAAAATTATTTTTTTCAAAAAACTCAATTTGCCATTAAAAGATTCAATTTGAAGGTATGGCATCTTTGTTCTAATCAGGAGGGTTTTGTTTTCATTTTTTTGGTTAATTTAGCATTTTTTGTATCTCTCGAAACTCAAAAACGAATTCGTATGAATCATTCAAACATTATGCTCCACATTAAGGAGTTCTTTAAAAAGTTTCAAATAAATTTTTCTCTAAAATAAAATTTATTCCTCATTTTTAAAATTCACGTGGGATTTCCTATAAAATATTAACAATTAAATATTAATTAATTTATTTTCTTTCTTACAGGTGAGAGGCCAGCCGCTATGCAGACAGGATCAGCTCGTCTATCAAAAAGCTCACTAAACATTGTAGCTCTCCTAATTATCTCTTACATTTATCAAATGTGCACTTTCAATCAATGCCCTTTAGTGGGAGCTTCGAGGTAGCTATTTTGCCTAATCTTTAATTTCAACTTGTAAATATTGTCGACATAAATTTACGAACCATACAGGTTTTGTTACAGACATAAGAAGCTTTAAGGTGTGTTAAGTTATACACATATTTACCACAAAAGACAATGAGGCTCTCCTCAAAAAACTGAAGTTAGATTTGTACCAGGAGACGAACTGCCCTTGTTAGAACTGCCCTGTCAAAAAAATATATTTTGCTTCTTACTCTAAACAGTATACACAAATAACTTTTTTGTAGCAATACATAGTTTAGATAAAGTAAATAAACAGGAGATCTAACAAAGACTAGCTCTTATCCTGTCTGACATTAAATAACGTTGAAGAAGAATGACTTCATTATAACTGAAGAAGAAGAATTATTGTATTGTAAATACAAGTATAATTGGAATACCTATATTATATTAACTAAATAGAAAGAAAATTTTAAAAAATACAACTAAGAAAATTTGTAGAACTAAATCGAATTAAATAATGAATACGCCCTGTAAAAACCTTTTAAAGTTCTAGGGAATTTTTTAAAGCCATTAATTTGTAAAAGTACGATATCTATGAGCTAAGAAAAAATTACTCACCTAAGTCATGACTCAAATTGATGTATATAAAGAGGTTTTATTTTTTACGTCAGAGACGATTAAATGTAAAAAGACAGGTAGTAAATAAATAGAATTTGTTATACAGAGTGTCATTGAAATGGTGTAAAAAAATTCGGGGGGTGAAAATAGTAAAAAAAGTTCCTATAGATATAGGGCGGAAAATACATATTAAGGGAGTTAGGGGCACTGAAAGGGTGAATTTAAAAAACGGTTGTTTTGAAATTGTAGGCTTAAAAACGAGATAAAATTTCGAAAAAAAATCCTCTGCCATAAATTTTGACCCTAAATCAAATGGTGATACTGAAAAAATATTTGGAAAAGCGGAAAGGGTAGTTTTTGCAAGGGTGGGGGTTGTTTCGTGAATAACTTTTTTGACGTTATCTTTTTTGCAATGTGGGTTCATTTTTTGAAAACTACATACTTATTTCTACAAAAAAGTTACTGTTGTTGCACATCGCCCAGAGCGATGGTTTTCGAGAAAATTGAAGGCAAAGAGTTTGCTCTGATGGGTTGCTAATCCACATAAACTTATGAAAGTTATGGCGGTTCAAAAGTAACCAAGTAGTTATCAAATAATTAATTGAAAAATCAAAATTTCATGATTTTTAAAACAACTTATTGCTTTAAAAAACGAAATAATCCAATTAGCAAAATTCCTTATTAAAATAATGCATTCCTTAATTCATTCATAGTAAATGTTCAAAGTGACCACCATTCATTTCAATGCAGACATCTGATCTTCTTCTCCACAATCTGCGTACCCTGTCGAATATCCTTGGTGTTGTCCAAATTTGATTGGAACAGTCAATAATGCGTTGCCGTAGTTGCTTGTCAGTATCAATCGGCACTGAGTAAAGCAAATTTATTTAAAACCAAAAGAGTTTATTTCGTTTTTAAAGCAGTAAGATGTTTTAAATATCATGAAATTTATGATTTTCCAATTAATTATTTAATAACTACTTGGTTACTTTCGAACCGCCATAACTTTCATAAGTTTATGTTGATTAGCCAGTTAGCAACTCATCAGAGCCTTCAATTATCTCCAAAACCATCGCTCTGGGCCATATGAAACAAGAATACCTTTTTTGTAGGAAAAAGTATGTGGTTTTCAAAAAATAAACCCGCGTTGCAAAAAAATAACCTCAAAAAAGTTATTCGCGAAACAACCCCCTACCCTTGCAAAAACTAACCTTTCCGCTTTTCCAAATAATTTTTCAGTATCACCATTTGAGTTAGGGTCAAAATTTATAGCAAAGAATTTTTTTTCGAAATTTTATATCGTTTTTTAAGCCTACAATTTTAAAACAACCGTTTTTTAAATTCACCCTTTCAGTGCCCCTAACTCCCTAAATATACATTTTCCACACTATACTTATAGGAACTTTTTTTACTATTTTGAGTTGTACTATCACCTTCCGAATTTTATAACACCATTTCAATGACACCCTGTATTCCTTCACAAAATTGCACGGGTAAGAGATATTTTTGAATATGTTTCTGTTAAAAATACTCAGATTTAGAGAAATTTAGTTACACTGAGAAAAATAAAAGCAAGAACATATCCAAAAAAATGAATTTTAATGATTTAAAAGATGTTATGTACAATTTTAAATTGTCCTAATGATGAATATGATCATGATGTCTATGCTTCAAGATGGATTAAATTTCAATAATAATATAAAAAAATCTTTCGTATTTTTCTAAGGGTAAAAAATCAAATCAAATATATTTGCATTTCATCGACTCATCTAAATAGTGTGTAGTTAAGGTAAAAAAAATCGGCTAACATGAATTGCGCAAAAAAAATGCAGGTTGTTATTAAGAACACTGTCAACGAAGCGATATGTATCCGATTTTATCTTAGGTTATATTTAAAACTCAACCACACTTGTACAAATTTTGCGGTGGCTAATAGGTGTACATAAGTTTATTATAGATGTATAGGTTAATACATAGCAAAAAAATAACCAAAAAGTCTAATAAGATATTCTTTTTGGAAGATTCAATAAAATTTCGAAAGCGATCTTAAAAGACATTTTGCATCATTCACATTTTTTATCTCCAGTTTTTCATTAATACTATTGTTCAACTATACAGGTTTGCCTAAACTTAAGTATAACAAAGATACCAATCATAATTTTAGGAACTATTTCAACTAAGGACTTTATGGTAAATGTTGGAATCTTAGGCAAAGTAATCGACCTGTGTAGGTTTTAATAAAAATTAAATTAGGCCTACATGTTCAATACATATTCGTTTGTTGTAAGAAATTCGTTTTTCATTGTAAATATATCTCATTTTAAAAATATACCAAAAAAAAGAATATTAAGAAAAATACCAAAAATACTTTAACTTACCTAAGTGTAAATGGATGTGAAATTTTTGTTAAGTTTTTTTTTAAATATTTGTTAAAGATCCTAATTCTAATAAATGTTTTGAAATGTACTTATATATCGACAGGTTTCAAGTATCTCAATTTAAAATGTGTAGTACCTATGTAATTCAATGATATAATGTAAAAGTTTATTCATAAATAAACGTAAATCTTTAACAATTGTCATTTGTTTTATTTATCATTTTTTTAACACCTCTATGTATATCGCAAAACAATTTCCGATGCACGTCATCAATCATATCGACATTGACACTAAAGTCTATAAACCTCACTAAATGAAATTTTGGAAAAAATGTTTAAAATATTTTTACTTTATAGAGCAAATGATTGTAACAGATATTATATTTAGATTAAAGCTGCAAAAATTAGTTAAACCGAATTTTATTATCGCCCTGTTGGTCACATTGCGCCGTGTTCAGCAATGTTGTCCTTTATTATTTGACAATTATTATCCAAGTGTCAGTCATTATTTTGTATAATATGGTCCTGTTGAATCTTTGTAAGTAGTTCTCGTTTTTTTGCCTATTTTCATAGTATTTTTTTTTAAATTTCACTTTTAAGCACAAACAGTTCTTTTAAGAAGTAAATTTTCTAGAGTTTTTGTAATGCATTTCTTGAAATTGTGTGTTGAACATATGCCGAAGCATTTAAACAAGCAAAGAGCTTGTAGTTTCCCTGTTTTTTTTTAACTGTTTTGAACGAGAACGTTAGAATAAAGGTCCTTTATTACCCTTGACTGCAGGCAGAAAAGTAAGTTTGATTGACACTACTTTCAAAGTTAGTTTTTATTAAATTCTGTGATTATTAATTTGTGCATTAATAGCACTTTCTTACTTGTTATTACCGCTTATGGCGTTGTAAGATGTACTTCAATAAATAAATAACCCATAATAACGCTGATAATAATATTCCTAAAGGACTAGTTTTTGCCAATATGTAATAAGTAAAATAAGCTATAAAACAAATAAATCAATTAATCACTTAAATATTAGTTATTAAATTAAAAATAAAACGTAAAACTTTTTAAAAAATTATATAATAAATATGTTGTTTGTCAATTTTAAATTAAGATTCATCTCATAAATCCAATGTCTTTGCATAAATCCATCACAATCTGGCAGCGCTGTCACCATCGCTTGTCACTCAAAGTTGATCACGTGCATCGGAAATTGTTTTGCGATTACCATAGCAATATACACAACACGAGAATGACAAAACCGTCACAAAATCGTCGTCAGAGTGACCTATAAAAGGATAATTGAGGATAATTTTTGTCAGGCACACCCCTATACGTCATTTATTGAAAACTAAACATGAAAACCTATTAAAATTTAAATATGAAACAGATTGTTAAGTTGGTAATCATTCAAACACAAATCTTTTCAATCATCCAGGCACGTATGATTTTACATCCATGACCGTCATATGTATATGTGCCGATTATTAAGACACCACCTCTTTTATTAGACCTAGCAATAGACACGAAAATAAACTAAAAATATACTTTAAACCTTGTATAATCTTCTTAAGTTAGCAACTGTAATATCCATACAGGTTATTTAATATAAAACATGCATAATTAAACTTAATTTTGTACACTTGGCATATGTTGCGAAATCGATCAACTATAATATGAAATCTGTAAAATACATTTTTATTTATTATTGAGTCTATGTAAAAACTCCTCAATTTTTAACAAAAACGGTGATGTGACAAAAAAAATGACGAACACTGGTACAGTGCTGATTACTGGTACACTTACTTTAGGAGTGGACTCAAAAATTACCTACTCAAATTATTGTTAAAGTTTTGAGCAATAGTCATAATAAGGCTTTAAATGGAAGCATTCTGAAAAAGAAACGTATAGGTAAGTACACAAATATCTAAAAAAATGCGGGAGTGTCCATGACCATAACAACAAAAAAGAATAACTTATGAGGACAACGACCTCAATGTTAAGGACAAACCCTCATTGTATCTTACCAATAAATGTAGGACACTACATTTTACTTGATATGAATAAAATACGTGCCAAATCAGACAGAAAAAAGATTAGAAAATAAAACAATTGAAAAAAATAGCATAAGTTATAAGCTTAGATTTCTTTATCTAACAATAGAATAAAATTTTTAATTAACGGTCAGAAAACAGTTAGTTTTCTTTATTTGGTAAACAATAGTTATTTAATAGTCAGATGCCGCATTTTTATACAGTGCTGGACAAAACTAATGAGATACATGATACTTTAAAAATTACATTTAGAGTGCAATCGGCCGATAATAAGTAGTTCTAGAAGGTATTAGCGGCACTTTTGATTACCCTGTTACTTCACTGTGGATAAAACAAGAATAATAATTTTTACTACACATGAGGACATAGGTACTATAGCTATCTAGCCAACTGTCTAGTAATTATACGTCATAGTTTATGAAATATAGCTTGTCAAATTTCTTTAATTTTGACACTGACTCACTGACAGATCATCAAATGTCTAAGGTACTTTTAGAAACAGAAGTGTCACAAACTTCAAATTTTGAATTTTAGGTGGCATTAAGCTTATAATGGAAGGAAAAAATGAAAAATCTCGAAACTTCCTAATGGATTAAAAGTTGTCTATATCTGACATTCCGGCGATGGTAATAATATCAGATACTCTGCAAACTTCAAAAAGTATAGGAATA